GCGATGTGTCTCAGCTGAGACCTGGGTGATCACAGAACACAGCCCGCCCATCACGGGGGTGAGCTAACTAGCGATGTGTCTCAGCTGAGACCTGGTTCAGTAGAAGGACTGGATCTGTTAATGGTGGAAGGGATCCGAGTTACCCCCCCGCAGGGTATCCATATGAGTCCACAGCAACTTCAGTCCTTGTCTCCTCAGAAGAAAGAATTCAACTGAGGGCCATAAAGCAGAAAAAGAGATGGAGGCAAGTTTCAGAGCAGGAGTAGAAGTTTATGAGAAAGGTTTTAGAACAGAAAAGAAAGGGAAGAACCCTTGGAGGAGACCCAAGTGAGCGCCTGAAGGTCAAAGAGAGAAAAAGAGCCCCTTTAACCTTAGGCTCTCCTCTTTCCCATGATTTTCCCCTAGGGTGTGCTTTCCGCATGCGCAGTGCTTTCCTTACCCTTTGGAACTGAGCAGGTGCAGTGTGTTTAGGGTGTTACATGCCTGCCCATCTGAGGCTTTTTCTTTTCTCTGGTGGCGTGTGCCCCCAACCCCCAGCATCATACTTTGCCTATTTGTCGCTTAACATGCATGCCCAAAAAGCTGCTTCTTCCTGGGGTCTGCATCAAATTAACACTTTTTTTTTTTTTTTTTTTGAGACAGTCTTGCTCTGTCACCAGGGTGGAGTGCAATGGCATGATCTCTGCTCACTGCAAACTTCACCTCCTGGGTTCAAGCGATTGTCCTGCCTCAGCCTCCCGAGTAGCTGGGACTACAGGCATGCGCCTTGACACGCAGCTGATTTTTGTATTTTTAGTAGAGACGGGGTTTCACCATGTTGGCGAGGATGGTCTCGATCTCTTGACCTCATGATTCATCCACCTCGGGAGAGTGTCAGACTGAAGATCTAAAGGTCCCTGGTTTGATCCCGGGTTTTGGCCATTAACATTTTTAATGCTAACAGGTATGGACCATCCAGAGATTGTCTCTCCCTGGCTACCCAATTATCATTTTTAGAGCAGCAATGTGATAATTGCTGAACCATCACTTGATATTCCTAGTGGGTTGGGGGAGAGCCCTCTCCTGCCTCGCTGAGGCCCGTCTAACTACCTAGAACAGATCTAGAGCCAGACTGAGTAATGGGCCCCTCCCCTGGTGCTCCTGCCCGGTGTCCCACCCTGCATATGGCCTTTTCCCAGGCAGCTCCTTGGGGCTCTTCTGATTTAGGAATGGACCATCTTTCTGGGGTGACTGAGTTTCCACACAGCACCCTGGGAAATGTGATACCCAGGGAATAAGTTAACCTCTATTTCCAATGCATTCCATAAATCACTCTCGTTGATCAAAATACGGTTCTGGAATCATGAAAATAAAGTATAAGTGTGGTGCATGTCATGAGATTACAAAATGGTACTTCCTAGAACCCATTTTATTTTTTAAATTTATTTATTTATTTTTTTAAGGTGTGCACTTTTATTCAACTGGTCTCCAGTCAGTGTACAGGTAAGCCCTGGTGGCCTCCACCCACTCCCAGGAGACCAAAAGCCTTCATACATCTCAAGCTGGGGAACAAAAAAGGGGTAGTCACAAAGGCTGATCATTCAAAATAAAAAAGTATTGAGGCGAAGATTAAAAATTTTTTGCATTACATAATTTACATGAAGCAATGCTGTCACCTCCCCTGTGTGGACTCAGGAGAGGACTGGGCCATTCTCTTTAGAGAGAAGTGGGGTGGCTTTTAGAAGGGCAAGGGACTTCCTATAACAATGCATCTCATGATATTTGGAATGATCATTAAAAAAAAGAACAATGTACAATCAAAGTCCTTGGCCACATTGTAGAACTTTGGGGGATGCTCGCTCCAACCGACTGCTGTCACCTTCACCGTTCCAGTTTTTAAATCCTGAGTCAAGCCAAAAAAAAAAAAAAAAAAAAAAAAAAAAAAAAAAAAAAAAAAAAAAAAAAAAAAAAAAAAAAAAAAAAAAAAAAAAACCCACCCCCCCCCCCAAAAAAAACCAAAGCTGTGCCAATCTCATCTTGTTTTCCGCTCCAGTTTGTCAGGAAAGGGTGTAACGCAAGTAAGTCACATCTGCCTAGAGGCGTTTGCGGTGGACAATGGAGGGACTGGACTAGTCATACTCCTGCTTGCTGATCCACATCTGGTGGAAGGTGCACACCGAGGCCAGGATGGAGCCGCCGATCCACATGGAGTACTTGTGCTTCAGAGGAGCAATGATCTTGATCTTCATCGTGCTGGGCGCAGGGGTGGTGATCTCCTTCTGCATCCTGTCGGCAATGCCAGGGCACATGGTGGTGCCACCGCTAGACAGTACTGTGTTGGCATACAGGTCTTTGTGGATGTCCACATCACACTTCCTGGTGGAGTTGAAGGTAGTTTCATGCATGCCACAGGATTCCACACCCAGGAAGGAAGGCTGGAAGAGTGCCTCGGGGCAGTGGAGCCGCTCGTTGCTGATGGTGATGACCTGGCTGCCGGGCAGCTCCTAGCTCTTCTCCAGGGAGGAGCTGGAGGCTGCCATCGTCATCTCCTGCTCAAAAGTCCAGGGCGACACAGCCCAGCTTCTCCTTGATGTCATGCACAATTTCCCAGTTGGCCATGTAGGTGAAGCTGTAGCCACGCTCCGTGAGGATATTCATGAGGTAGTCAGTCAGGTCCCAGCCAGCCAGGTGCAAATGTAGGTTGGCATGGGGGAGGGCCTACCCTTCATGGATGGGCACAGTGTGGGTGACCCTGTCACCGGAATCCATCAGGATGCCAGTGGCATGGCCAGAGGCGTACAAGGACAGCACAGCCTGGATGGCCACATACATGGCTGGGGTGTTGAAGGTCTCAAACATGGTCCAACTTTTCAAGGTTGGCTTTGGGGTTCAGGGGTCCTCAGTCATCAGTACGGGGTGCTCCTCAGGAGCCACACGCAGCTCATTGTAGAAGGTGTGATGCCAGATCTTCTCCATGTCCTCCCAGTTGGTGATGTTGCTGTGCTCGATGGGGTACTTCAGGGTCAGGAAGCCGAGGAAGCCCTGGGCCCTTGCCGCCCATTTAGGAGTCCTTCTGCCCCATGCCCACCATCACACGCTAATGCCTGGGCACCCCACGATGGAGGGGAAGACAGCTCGGAGAGCATTGTTGCCCGCCAAGCTGGCCTTGCACATGCCAGAGCCATTTTTGATGATGAACGTGATGATATCATTATCCATGGTGAGCTGGTGGCGGGTGTGGACGGGCAGCGGAGTGGCGAGGGGTGAGGCTCTGTGCCTGCAGGGCAGATGCAGTCTCGGCGATCTAGAACACATTTTAGCTGGTAGCAGAATTGAGCCAGTTTCTGTGCCACTGTTTATCACCTTCTGTTTGTGAGATGGGGAGTAGAACCTACCAGGCAGTCACAAGACTTCAACCTACCCAGGTCAGCTGATCCTTTGTGTGTCATGGCATGAAATATGAATATACTGACTTTCTTCGAAACCTGCTCCTGGAGGCCTCAGCGCCTTCTCTTCCAACTCAGAGACCACCTTCCACCATCTGCATTTTATCCTCTGCAGGTTGAATGGCTCCCACAGCAGTCTGTGAAGACATTGCTCAGCTCGGTGGCACCTCTGAGTGGTTCTTAGGACTAGGGACCAAGAGGCGAATGTCCCAGAGAAGATGGTGGGAACAGACACTACTGCCAGATTCTCTGCCCAGCCACTTGCTCAGCTCGCTCCTGTGATCACACCATTCCACCTCCTCCCAAATGCCGCCCAGTGGACCAGGTGACTGCTGTGCCTAGAATCTCTCAGTCCTCTGAAAATGGCTTCTTTCCTGGCCACCAAACGGGAGTAAACAATGCCATGGAGATTGAAACCATCATCAACAAGGCCACTTGCTAATTGGGAAAGGTATTTTTCTTTTCTTTTCTTTTTCTCTTTTTTGAGATGGAGTTTCGCTCTTGTTGCCCAGGCTGGAGTGCAGTGGCACGATCTCTGCTCACTGCGACCTCTGCCTCCCAGGTTCAAGTGATTCTCCTGCCTCGGCCTCACAAGTAGCTAAAATTATAGGCATCTGCCACTGCATCTGCTAATTTTGTATTTTTAGTAGAAATGGGGTTTCACCGTGTTGGCCAGGCTGGTTTTGAACTCCTGACCTCAGGTGATCTGCCCACCTCAGTCTCATAAAGTGCTGGAATTATAGGTGTGAGCCACCCTGGCCAGAAAGGTATTTTTCTTTATCAAAGAGGGTAAAGAACTATTGATCAGCTAGTAATTTAAGTCTATGTAAACATGCAACATGGGTTACTAATGCTTTTCTTTTTTTCTTTTTCTTTTAAGATGAAGTCTCGCTCTGTCGCCAGGCTGGAGTGCAGTGGTACAATCTCAGCTTACTGCAACCTCTGCCTCCCCAGTTCAAGCGATTCTCCTGCCTCAGCCTCCCTAGTAGTTGAGACTACAGATGCACACCACCATGCCCAGCTAATTTTTGTATTTTTAGTAGAGACTGCATTTCACCATGTTGGCCAGGATGGTCTCGATCTCTTGATCTCATGATCTTCCCATCTCAGCCTCTAAGAGTGCTGGGATTACAGGTGTGAGCCATTGCACCTGGCCAAGTTGCTAACGCTGCTCTATTATTTTCAGTAATAATTATAAATTAAGGAAAAGGCAAGAAGATTTGAGGATTTTTCTCCCTAAAGATGAAAGATGGGTTGTATTCAGAAGCTGTCAAAAATTAGTAAGAAGTATTATGTTGAAAAATATATCAAACAGTGGGAAAAAGTCCCTTCGTGTTTTTTTCCCTAGCTATTAATTGTTAAAGTCATTTTCTCAGGCAAAATGCCCTGATGAACTGAATCCTCCCACCTGTGACCATGCATGTGACATAAAGTACCTGGGGACTGAGCCTGTTGGAGGTCAGCATCCCCAAGGTGTAAAGAAAGAGATTAGTCCCCGCCCCCACCCCGCCCCATGGGCTTTCTCACTGCAACCATTGCTTACAAAAAGCGTCTGGCAATTGTATGTTTTTATGACCCCATTTCCAGCACCAAGTGGCCTATGGTTGCCCCCATTTTTCTTGGGTCATTTGCTTGACTGCTGAGCTGACAAAACTGCCATGGGCCTTCCGTTGACATTCAGGGTCACTGATGCACCACAGCAGACAGTTTAGAGAATGGGCTCAGCTCGTTTGAGTGACAACGTAGCTGCTGGGTGCTTGGGTCCCACAGCTGCTTTGTGGGTGAAGCCGTGCCTCAGTTTCCTCATCTGTAATATGAGAGTACTTATACCTACTGTCTTGGATTGGGTTTCCTGTCTCCCAAGAGCAGGACCTGAGTGAAGACTTGGGTGCAGGTGTATTATATGGACAGGGTATTAGTTTGCTAAGGCTGCCGGAAATGATGACCACAAACTGGGTAGATGGAAATAACAGAAATGTATGTCTCAGAGTCCTGGAGGTCAGACATCCAATATTAAGGTGTTGGCAGAGTCATGCTCCTTCCGAAGGTCTTAGGGGAGAATCTTCCCCTGTCTCTTCCGTGGTGCGTCTGGGCTTAGAGCCTTGTCCCTCTAGTCTCTGCCTCTGTCACCACATGGCCTTCTTCTCCGTGTCTCTTATAAGGACACTGTCATTGGATCCAGGGCCCACCCGATTCCAGTGTGATCTCATCTCCACCCTTAATTACATCCACAAAGACCCTGTTTCCAAATAAGACTGCATTCTGAGGTTCTGGGTGGACATGGAATTTTGGGGGAATGCAACTCAGTCCAGCACAGGGCTCATGGCTCCTTTCCGGTCCTAATCCCAGATTTACCCCATGTTGACCTTTAAGATGGACTAACTTAACGGATAGAGACGTGGACATCCTAGGAGGGAAAAAGAGCATGGCACCATTCACCTCCTTCACCATTCACCCCAGCCGAAATGTCCCCATGCATCATTTCCAAGCAACTTGACTCCACCTTCAAGACTCAGTCGTCCCAGACACAGGAAGGATCTTCAAGACAGCTGCAATTCTCAAGGTGATGAGCCATGTGAGGATCTTTCACTGGGGGAGGGGGCTTCACAAAGAATCTCTGCCCAGGAATCCTAAGAGGGATTCAGGAAGGAGTGCCTTACCAATGAAATAATTTTCACAGTCAACTGCTGCCGCTTCTGCCAAGGTTTGACGGACCTCAGGGGCGTAACTTGTTTCCAGCCGTGCTGGGTACTTCCTTGCAGCTCGTTGCCCCTAGCCCTTGTTTGGGGGGTGAGGTGCGGGCACGAATGGAGAGAAGAGTAAGGTCACCAAGCTGCAGCTCCCCGAAAGGGCAAACAACCTGAATTTCACATTCCCTGGAATAAGGAGCCTGAAAGGTATAGCAGGGACAGCAAATCAAATTTGGCCCACAAGCTGAAATTCCCTGTCAGATACGTGTCTGGGCAGAGTGCTGGATTAGGGAAGATTCCAAGGCTCATCTGGGCTAAGTGAGCAGAGCCGTGATGCAGTTGAAACATGCCACAGACATCCCCAGGGACTCCTCAGGGCACGTGCCACCAATGTGTCATCCCTGGTGAATAGCTTTTTTTAGGACAGCTTTTTACGTGTGTTGTTGCCAGACACAGGTGACAAATTAAAAACATGCAAATAAACAAAGTCATAGAAACGAGCTGTTTCCATGCTATCACTCCTTTGCCATATTTCTAAAGACATCTGGTTACTCAATGTAAAACCTTGTGATTTTTGAATCATAAATTTTCAGCGGCAAGGCACTGGGTCTATTTATACTCCCTGGCTGAGTACATGCCCGCCATCAGTTGTGTAACTGGGATTGCTGGGTCGGGGCCAAGCCTGAGCTCAGCTAGCTGGAGCTGGGGTGGGTAAGTCAGTAAGTACTGGGGGGTGAGGGTGTTCTAGTCCCAGTTCTGCCCCAAAGGGCTGCCGCATCGCCTTGGGTGGTTCATTCCAGGCTTTGGCGTCTCAGCTTCCCTGTCTCTAAAATGGGAATGACAATGCTGCCCCATCCTGCGTCACAGGTTGGAGTGAGACGGTGTGAGGAGGTGTGTGGAATGGAAGCGTGGCCCCGGGCCCAGCTGGCATTGTCCTTTAGAACTCATTCCTGCACATTCTGAGGGCAGTGTCGTAACAAATAAGAACGTTTGCACGGGGCGGGCATTGCCTAGGAAATCCGGCTCTGATTGTTAAAGACATCTGGAAGTCTCTGGGGCCTAATGGTTCTGAGGATGCCAAACAAGGAAACAAGACCAGCTAAAAAGTCAGCAGTGGCCTCCAGATGGGGACAGGGAATGGCCTGTGGCCATGCCTGAGCAGCTCAGCTGTTTCAGGAGTCGAACTTTCACTTCCTTGATACCATCTGCAGCAGCCCAGGATGGACCCGCCAAGGCCATCTGACCTCCTAGCCCCACCCTGAAGGAGCCTGAGAAATCACTCAGTTAAACGTTTCCCTGTTTGCTTGTTTTTGAGATGGAGTGCAGTGGTGTGATCTCGGTTCACTGCAACCTCTGCCTCCTGGGTTCAAGCGATTCTCTCACCTCAGCCTCCTGAGTAGCTGGAATTACAGGCACCCACCACCGTGCCAGTTAATTTTTGTATTTTTAGTAGAAACGGGGTTTCTCCATGTTGGCCAGGCTGGTCTCGAACTCCTGACCTTAGGTGATCTGCCTGCCTCGGCCTCCCACAAATGCTGGGATAACAGGCATGAGCCATCGTGCCCGCCTTGTTTGTTTTTAATGAGGAAGCAGAAGGAAAGTCATTTTTGCAAGGATCCCAAAGCTAATTAGTAGCTGAAAGAGGACAAGGACTCTAATTCCCAGATGCCAGGGATAAGAGTACACAGGGAGCCAGAGGGAAGCACAGGAAAGAACCCTCTTCTTCCCCAGCAAGAGCTGGGTTTGAGGCCAGCCGCGGTGGCTCACACCTGCAATCCCAGCACTTTGGGAGGCCGAGGTGGGCGGATCACGAGGTCATGGCCAACCTGGTTAAGCCCCATCTCTACTAAAAATACAAAAAAAATTAGCCGGCATGGTGGTGGGTGCCTGTAATCCCAGCTACTCAGGAGGCTGAGGCAGGAGAATTGCTTGAGCTTGGGAGGAAGAGGTTGCAGTGAGCAGAGATCACACCGCTGCACTCCAGCCTGGGCGACAGAGGGAGACTCCGTCTCAAAAAAAAAAAAAAAAAAGAGCTGGGTTATCGGTGGGTTCCTTCCTAGCTAAAGGAGTTGTCACTTGAGCAGGAGAAAAAAACGTGTGCAATTTCCAGTTTTAAATCTATTCAATCCAGTCAGTAATGAAATCAGTAAGAATTCTTACGACAGTCACAAGTTATGACAGCAGAAGGGTTGGATGTTCCTGAGATCTAAGCTGTGCACAGGACGCCAGTGAATGTTGTGGTTAAAGGCTGCAGTAGGTTAAGCTCTATGGTATAGCAGGGAAGGCAGTGGACCCAGTCTGCCCTGGTGCAGGCAATGACGGGGGACATTATCTGCAGAGAATTTAACAACACTAATAAAACCATCTAAACACTGCTCCACTGGTTGGCAATTCTAAATAATG